CAAAGAAAATGGAAAATTGCAATTTTCTTCACCTTCGTTCACAAAGATTCGAATTTGAGCAAATATTAAAGACAAGTGTGATCGTTCATGTAGTGTTGCTGTGAGAAGCTCAGTGTGAAAAGCATAATACGAGCAAAAGTCTTTCGCCGAACAAAGGACGGTTTCGTTACTCTTAAATATTTTATGATCACATGTTTTAAGATGTCAAGTCAAAGTGAACAACGTCACACTGCCTCAAGAGTGATGGCAACCACTGAATTCGAAGGGAACCATCTGATTGGTCAAAAACAAATGAAACATGGGAAATGCACGCCATCGTTCAGACGTTAACGATTCACATCATTAAGAATTACGTTAAAAATTATTATCAACAAGTAAAAATGTCAGTCTTCCTTTTTGTCAAATATTTTCCTACATTTTATGTGTTGCTCTAAACTACATACGGAAGGCACAGTTAGAAAATGAGATTACATTTCAAAATTATTCGTATTTCTTGCCTCTAAAAACAATTTTAACCGATCGCAAACCAAGTGATCGCCTATAGGAAAAATTCCTGTATTTTCAGAAATTGCTAAAATGCTGTGCGACATGTATCGTGGACTGTATATTGAAAGTAAGGTAACGTTTAAAAATTAAGATGAGAGAAAATGTGTATCCTCAATGAAATCTGAATACTGGCTTGGTATTTTTTTTCTGAAACTTATCAGGTTTTGGGCTGACTGTGATATCATAGTAAAAAAAAAAAATATTGAATATCGAAATATTATGCAGTGAATACACGTAACTTTGACTCACAACTCTCTATATTTCATTTAAATTAATAAACCAAAGAAACCTTTGTGAAAACTAGCTTTGTTGTTACTATTTTCCTCTACTATTTCCGGTCGGACAGTATGTACGCATTTTCTATAAATCCTTACAAGACATGAGACCCACTTAGTGAGGGTGGGCCTCGAAGGGTGGGGGATAGAGTTTTACTATTCCATCTTGATATTCCACTTTTCCATTATCAGAATATCTCACAGCCTTTAAGGTGTATTTCCCTTATCCCCATAATGATGATACTGATGCGGAATAGCATACGGAATCGTATGCTATCAAAGAAGTTAGCATTAAATTTGGCGTCTTTTGGTTGATCGTGTTTTAATTATTATTTGTACCATGGGAGGTGCCTCGCATGGGTCCTCGCGTCCCGTTCGCACCTTCCCTTTTGACCTTATCACTTTAAATCACTTTGCACATATATTTCACTTTTTTTCTTGGCTGTTTAATTTGCTGTATGTAACATGTGTAATGGTCAATAAAGCTGTTTAAAAAAAAAAAAAAAAAAAAGTTCATGGTGAAGACAAGGTCGATCCTAGAAGGCAAAAGAAGTTTATGGAAATGACTGCAAAAAGTAAAACCAGCAGCATACCACTGCATTCTTATTAGTTTTATTTTTTCATCAATTAAAACGTTGAGAAATATTTTTATCAAAAGCCAAACTGAAAGCAACCGTATAGCAAATAGGAGCAGAAAATAAAAGAGGTCACGCTGAGCATATCCCGTATATTAATTACTTTAACCGGGAAAAGAGTTGGAATTTTCTAGTTGATATAATTGGTCCCTTTTGAGATAAGTTTTTACCCGAAAAAAATCCCCAATGAAAAAAGTAGTAATTGCTATATGAATAAATATTTATCATTAAATTACATTACATTACATCTACAGAAATCAATAGCTGAAGATTTTCCAATACAATTTAGAATTTTTCCTTCACGAAAATAATAATATCACATATTGTGTTGTTACCTAGTAAAGAAATATGGTCATGAAGTGGCATTTTTTTTCCATAAAAAAAAAACATATGAATGATCTTAGTACTCACAGCTGCATACATTCAAAGGCGTTCATTTCATTTCTGCGAGGCAATTGATAAAACCAATTTCATTTTAATTACTTTTTGGTTTTATATTTCATGGTAAATTATTCATGGTTGACATTAATACTTTTATTTACTCTAGTAGGAGACTTCATTGAATTTATGATGACAAGGAAGAGTTGTAATAAACCTTTTTTATGTAATTTCCAGTTTTCAATTAAATTTTCCATTTACCCTCAATGTGTACAATACCACTCTTTTATTGATGTTAACAACAACAACAAAACAGAACAGACAAAACAATAATCCATTAAAAGGAAAACACTTCTGGGGATTGAGAAAAATCGTCGAAAAAGCGAACAACAGAAATATTTCGAAGTTTTGGAATCAATTTTTCTCTGGCACCAAATTGTTTTTCGCAGGGAAAGATACTCTGATGACAAGTATTTCACCACATTTCCACCAAACAGCAGAGTCCTCGAAAGCTGAAATTTGTTGAACACAAGTAATTGGCTTCGTTCTAGAGGTAATAAGACTTGCTCGTAGGAACCTGCTTTAAAGAGTCACTTTGTGACCTTATATAGGTTATATACTACCTTTGACATACACAGCTTACATCTGTAGTGTTTGATACGATGAAACGGAATTTTCTTAATTACATGGAAAAAGCTGTTAGCGTTTGAAGGGGGATCGCAAATTGTTGGACCAGTATGACATTGTGTGCTTCGATAATTGAAGACTATTTATTGCTAAGAATGTCTATAGTTAATATTCACCGAACATCCACAAGCTTGTACAATGCAACCACATTTAGCTTTTTTTGGAAAAAATAAAATTCAATTCTTCTGTCATAGGAAATATGACAAGCCTCGATGAAGATGACGGTAGTGTGGAGGACAAGTTGTTTCTCAAAGTCCTGATTGCTCTCGTTGTTCTCTGTTCCTTTTTTGGCAATTCTGTTCTCATCCACCTCATTCGAACAGAGAACCTTCTGAAGACAACCACCAATCATCTTGTTTTATGCCAGGCAGTGGCTGACATTTTAATTACAGTAATAAGATTACTGCATTTGGCACTACGTAAAGAATTTGTCTTGGGGTATTATTGGTTTGGAGGAATACTTGGTCTCATTACTTGCAAGTCCTATTTTCTGCTCCAATTTGCTACACCGGTGTTTTCAATATGGCTTTTGACACTGATTGCAGTGGAACGTTTATTTGCAGTAACTCGTCCTTTGCAATGTTCTCCTTTGTCTCATCATTTGAAAAAAACGATATCTGTGATTGGAATTTGGTCTTTAGCTTCTTTTACAGACATCATTGTGCATGGAAAAGTGACAAATGATGAGGAACGTTATTATTGTGGTGTTACATTTTCGGGGACAACACTTGTTTTTTGTGCAACAAACATTTTTTTTTCTCTTATTATCATATCAGCTTTTTATGCGATTGTGTGTTATAAACTTTGCTCACGGAAGGTTCCAGGAGAAGGGAACAGTCAAAATCAAAGACAAGCCGAAGCAATAAAGACAGCCAGAAAAGTTACCTTGATGATGATTGTGATTATAGTATTATTCATGATCTCATGGGGTCCCTCAGAAATCGTACTTGTTTTGCAGATCTTGAAAATCACTCCCATATCTACTATTTCGGTAGACATTAGTAACTTGACTCTTCTTTTCAGCAGTTTAAATCCTTACATTTATTTCACATTTAATCAGAGCTTTCGAAAGGCTTTTAGGGCTCTGTTTGTTCGATGTTCTCGGAAAATTGAAATTCATCGTGTTATTCCCTTTCGATCTCGAAGCACTGAGTTGCAGCAAATATGAAAAGGCTAAAGAATTTTATGAAGTGACTGTTATTGCTGACCCTAGAGTTAAAATTTGAATAGACAGCTTTAATTCAAAGTAAGTCCAGCATTATAAATTGGTTTGTTGGCGTTGCACTTGTATGAAATCTTTTTCATACACAGTAAACACTCTTTGCCAGCTGGTTTTAAGCAATCAAATAGGGACGCACCCACGGGCCGATGGAAATTACTTTAAGAGATGTGGTACACAAAGGAAGCATCAAGTAATTTTATTTCGTGAACGAAATAAAAGCTTTGAAACGGTTCTCAAATCTTCCCCCCTGAATAGGAGCAAAAATTAAAAACACAAAGTTCGGTCTAATCAGAAATGAAAAAAAAAGTTAACAAAATATGTATTGTTTTATGTGACCATGAAAGTTCAGTTGCTTTTCAAGTAAAAGAGAGCATGAAGAGCAGTCAAAATTTTATGATTACAAAGTTATGTTTATTTTGAAGAGTGCCACACACTACGGAAATAAAAACTGCAATTTTTAATTTATATTTGTACGATGGGAGTTTCAAATTAGAAATCCCCTATATGGATTTTAATCCCAACTAAATTATTGATAAAATGAAAAAATGAAATCAAATATATGTCATTATCAAAAAAAACATGTAAATAATTAAATGATATACACGAAAGGAATTTTTCGTCTTTGCTTTACTACTATATTATAATCGCTGTAACCTCCTAAGAGGTTTCGCTGTAGAGAATGTTTGAGGTAAATATCTGGGCATACGCTTGAAAGCTTTAAGTCAGTTTAATGAGATTGTAATCACAGTAGAGGAAGAAATGTTTAAGATGAAATTCTTGCAGTCACTTTATGCATTATGAATCAAATTTGCGGTAATCAAATTCAATATAGACCGTAGTATTTGACTTCTATATATAAATAAACTAACTTTCCCATCAACCTTCACTTTAAACCACTCAACTATAATCAATTGTTATGAGGTTATACCGGAAAAAGGAAGTCCTTTTAATCGCAGATCGTTCTGTAAGGAAAGCACTTCGTGAAAAAACCGAGCTAGGTATTGCCTCAAGAAACTCACTGAGTAAAAAATATTTTTTTAAGGCCGATACGATCGTTGATGTTTGATAGTCTACATAGCGTGAAGACAGACCCGCGAAATGAACTCTACCCTTCGTTACACAGGTACTGATAAGATCTGTTACCATAAAATCTTTTTTCATAGTATTTAACTCTGATTCACTTCTTTTCCTATTCTCAAAAATATCATTCTTCAAAACTCCTAGATTTTGGGTTTTATTATGTCTTGTTGATTACGCATGGTGTGTGCGGCTAAAAGAGAAGTCATACTTTCTGGAAGTAAGAAAATTTTGTGTACATGCTAACTTCCATAAAATTCAGTAACCATCTTCATTCTTTTAAACCATTCAAGAAATACGCCTTACTCGATGGTTTGAACATATAAAACGCGCGGATATTTTGCGAGTTACGTAGCATTCACGGGGTCTGTTTTCAGAGCCCCGTGGGCGAGGAAAAATACGAGCAATGACCAGGATGTCCGCTCCGCTCGTATTATATATGTTAAACCATCGATAGGTGATTTATTACTATGCTATTGCTTAATTTTCTAGGTTTCTGGCCTCTAGTTTTTGAATTTTTATTCGGTCTCATCTAAGCGTAGTGCCGATTGCAAAAGGCGTGCGTGAAAGAAGAAAACAACACAAAGAAACCATTCAAGTGTGCTTGACGACCAAAAGAGATTCCTATGGGCTTCGTAGTTCGTTTCTAAAAAAACATGATGTCATAAAAAAAGGAACAGAAGGCAAAGATTGCGCAGATCGTTTCTGTCCGTATTTTGCCCTATTTCACAATGTAACACCTTGGTATATTTGTTACTTTCCACGCACGCATTTCATTAAAATGATGCGCAAGTAGAAAAAATAAATCATATTATTTCCATGTTTCTCTCATAGAGAATGCAGCAAGCGTCATTGAGGTACCCAATATTGACTTCATGCTGCCGTTTACTATTCCTTTTCTTGGTTCAATATTCGGCAATTCCGTCCTCATCCACATCATACGAACAGATAACTCTCTGAAGACCACTATTAACTGTCTGATTCTATACCAAGCAGTGGCCGACCTTTTGATATCAGTAGCAAGGCTGATAGATATTTCACTTCCTATTAATTATACACTTGGATATCTCTGGTTTGGCGGCCTCGCGGGTACCATTACTTGCAAGTTTTATCATTTTTTGCTGCTTCTTCCACCGGTGTTTTCAGTTTGGCTCTTAGTCATGATTGCTGTTGAGCGCTTCTATGCAGTAACTCGCCCCCTGCAATTATCACCTCTGTCACGTCATTTGAAAAAATTCATTATTGGAATATGGATTTGGTGTTCAGCTTCTTTGTTAGACATCATTGTACATGGATTTTCGACAAAAAATGGAGAACGTTATTATTGCAATTTGAAATTTTGGTGGATATCGATGGCTTTCTGTCTGTTTAATACCGTTCTTTGTCTTTTCCTGATTGCTGTCCTGTACGCAATCGTGAGTTACGAACTGTGGCTACGTAAGGTTCCAGGAGAAGGAAACAGTCGTAACCAAAGACAAGCCGAAGCCAGGAGGACAGCAAAAAGAATCACGCTGATGATGATTGGTATTGTCCTTTTGTATTTTATCTGCTGGGTTTCTACAGAAATGGTGATCACAATGCATTTCTGGAAAGTGCAGTTGCCAGAAAGCGTTTTTCGACTATGTAGCAATTTAATTGTTCTTTTCAGCTGCTTAAATCCTTTTATCTATTTTACTTTTATTCAAAACTTTCGGCGTGCTTTTAAGGGTCTGCTTGAAAATTGCTTTAAAAGGGCAAAAATTCATCGTGTTCTATCCTTTCGATCCCAAAGCGCAGACCTACAGCAAATATGAAAAAAAAATGTGCGGAATTGTGGAACTTTCAGTGACTGCCTATTCGTAGGTATAGCTATTTCGAACTAGGTAATTACATCCTGAAAAGAAGTTTATAATCTGTTTCTGTTCGGAATAATATGTGAGATAGGATGAATATTTTCTCTGCCGGTTGGCTACAAAATTGTAGAGCAGGTAAATTTTTACAAACGAAAGTCCAGTGTCTTTTACACCTAAAATCTGTTAATCTGTTTCTGTTCGGAATAATATGTGAGATAGGATGGACATATTCTCTGCCGGTTGGCTACAAAATTGTAGAGCAGGTAAATTTTCAACATCTGAATACGCACAAACGAAAGTCCAGTATCTTTTACACCTAAAACTACCTGCGCCAAAATATTATCGAAGAATGTTCTTAGAGTTCCGTGGAGTTTTTGAATCAATGTTATTGTCCATGGAGTCCATGGAAAGCTTAAAGGATGTCCCCAGAGTTCTGCGATGATCCTTTATCCGCATAAAATGTATTTGCAGAATTATTCCTAATCAGATTGGTTCAAGGGAGGGGTAAGAGAGGCAGACCCAAGAACACCAGGTGTCGCACAGTAGAAGGAGAGGTGAAAGCCTGAAACAACAGTTAAGGCACTATCACCAAGCCAGAAGTGGAGGACCTCGGTCGCTGTCCTATATTCTTGCTGGCTTAATGGGAAGTAACCATAATAATCTCAAATCTTTTTCATCACAACTGCTGTCAGTGGCTACTCATGACTATGAGATCAGGTTGTTCTTTTCATTGAGAGTCCTCCAATTCTTTTGCAAATTAGTAGGAAGTGTCTAAATTGCGATAAATCTACCACAACAGCCTGAAAAAAATACTGTTCTAATAATGTGTAAAATATTTAATTCTATTTCCTGAGCTTTGATCAGTTGTACTTGACATGAAAACGTTGGCAGATGTCTCAGGTGCCAGATCAAATGTGCCTATATACATATATAAAGTATACCTCCTTTATCCTCTGAACGAAAAATTTAACATAGGAGAGGAGTAAGTTTAGTTGAGAGAGTCATTTTCTCACAAAGGAATTGGCCAGAAATCAATTATTTATAAAATTTCTGCCCCCATAAAACCCTGTTGAGTAACATACTGTAAATCTACTCCCATCGGAGAGTGAAGCGACGCCAGTAAAGGAGATTAAGAAAAGGCAAAGCTTACTTTGCGACATAATGAAAAGGGCTGATCATTTGTAATTAGACATGAGCCCTCTTCCTGATGTTATCTTGTGTAAACGAGTATTACATCTAAAGATTGGAAAATATTGTTAGCTTCTTGCAAAACAATGAAAAATTAATGATTGTCATCTTTTATTCGTGACATATTTATCTTTTCATTACAGTAGAGAAAATATATATAACAATAAGCTATGTGTTAAGGTTTTTATTGGCTATATCCTCCTAGATTCCAAGGCTCTATTCGTCAAAAAAAGCTATCTGTGCTCGAATGACGACTTCTCTCCAAGGCTTAAACTCAGTTCTGGCATGTGAAAGCTATGCGTGTGTCAATGAAAACACCCTTTGATAAGATAAACAGTATTCGGTTATTTGCTTGTTTCTAATTAAAAAATAACACAAGTTATAACATAGCTAGTAAATTTGTTTAATCAAATTCAATTGCGCGAGCGTGCTTCTTGGTTCAATATGCTGCTTCTAAAGGTCTGTTTGGAAACTGTTTACGAGGGTTAAAATTAATCGATTCCTTCCCATACGATCCCAAAGTATATAACTGCAGCAAATCTAGTTAAGGTCGTAGAATTGTTAAACTCACTGCGGTTGCCTATCCTTAAGCTCGCTCAAGACATACTGAAGAGAAGTCTATGGTCTCCAGCCTTGCAAATTTTCTGGTTCAGAATGATTGTTTTCAGGTAGGCTGGAAATAATCTTCGCCAATTTGCTAATTCCATTCCTACTTTGCACCGACGTATGCCCTGTTTCTACTTGATTTCGAAGATACCTACTCCAGAAACAACATCACGTACCATTTCTCTTCAAACATGTTTTCATGATATCAATATTTCAGAGTAGTCTCAAATCTTTGTCATAATATATATGCTATTTACAAATCATAATAATTGGCAAAAATTCTGCGTGATCTTTCCTCATTACCCACCCTCTTCCCTGACGCGAATCAGAACTGGAAACGTCTCTATTCGGATTACCAGATTCATAATCAAAATAAAATTGGTCAAAAGTCTAGTAATAAATTTCGAATCCGCACTTTTCCAATCAGTGAATTAACACTACTCTTTATTATTGAGGTTTCGTATTCACTTTGCCTTTAACAGCCTTGTGAAGCTAACAACGACAAAGCATATAATTAAAGATATGCAAATACCCCTGTATTTTATGTAATGAAGGAAATCGTTTATTTGTGGTCGGATAGAATGGGACTTTTGACATATTCTTGTGTTAAGGCAGGTTCAAACTAAAAGCCTGGGAAACATTGCCAGCTTTCTCAGAGAAAAGAAAAATATTAATTCATGGTACATAATAAACAAAGGATGCGTGCATGCTTATATGTCAGACAGGAGAAATGTACCAAATGGATATGAATAATTTTATATATTTACCAAAACAATTGTGATTTCAACATGCATATTTTCATCACAGTAAGAAAACACTGATAATAAACCGATTGCTTTGTTATGTAAAACTCCAAGGTAAATTTCGCTTGCTTAATACGATAGCATAAAATTATTACTCCAGCGAAAAGATAAAAGAGAAAGAAAAGAAAGAATTACATTTATGAAAAAGTTAAGTTGATTAAAACTCTTCCATAAATGAAGCCGAACAACTTCAATCTCGAATCCTCGTAGTTTCACATTTAGATTGTGGCCTAAGGATTACGTAACACGCAATAAAAAAAATAGCCCAAAGCAATAAATCTAAAGTTTGATTAGTAATCTTAATAAAACAAAATATAATAAAACCAAAACAATAAAACAAAACATACGCCAAAGAGTTAAAAAGACATCGCCATTTCAGTGCCAATACAGACCTGTGCACATAAATATTATGCAACCCGGATACAAAAGTTTATGCACATCGAGGCCAACTACTACTAAGATCACGAGACCGTGAGAAAATAAGTTAGGCAAACAAATTTAATTTCCTATTTTGTGAATCCCCTTGGCTTTTTCATTTGGTCCACGCGGGATGCTTTTCATTCAGCTGACAAAGAACGGGAAATAACATATTTCACATTAAAATAACAAACATTACTTTCTATTGACAACTCCTAATGATAATTAGTTAAAAGCACAAGTGGTATTATTGACTCTCTGAAACTAGACCGATCTATTGGCTGCACGAGAATATATCCATAAAAATTTAATGCTGAAGTAATCATCCAAAATGGATAAATTGCGAACAGTGTAACTTGCGTTTGGAGAGGGTGTTGAATCTTCGAGAAAAGAGGTAGACATTACTTCTTACGAGTAATTTCTATGTAGTGTACTGGTAATAGGCTTGTTTTCACGTTTTTTGGTATTCCCCTGCCTCGTATGGCCAAGGTGAAGTAATGTTCTTTTTAATGCCACTATATGCAGCTCGGAATCATTTTTCTGACCTCATTGATGTAAATGAAGGAAATTTTTATAGAAAACGTTGTGCTAAAAGCTTTGAAAAACTTGAATTTTTACACAACTCTCAGAATCAGTCACATGGAATGAAATTGCTTGAATTCGTTTGAATACCAACAACATACTATGCTCAAGGTTAAGTGCAAAAATTTAATTACGTAATACAAGTGTGAATATACATACATTTTTTTCATACAGTGTGAGGTTATTTTACAGGAAAACAGTGACGGTCTGGAAATTGTGGATATCAATGGCGTCTCGTGAAGAAAACGAAACAAAATGTAAGAGGTTTGACAGTTTCTTGTTATTTTGAATTTTGATTGTAAAGCTGCAGTAAAGAACTGAGTAGGTGGATTAGGTCACGTGTTTGATGTTACGTAAGAGCTGAGTTACGTGATGGAAATATTATGTAACCAAGATTGTGCAGCCTCAGTAAAGTAACCGAGCTTTGAGGAGTGTAATCTTACCGACGAGCATTGCTTTGGTTAACATTAGGGTTTTTATTTTTCTTTACCAAGGATGAACGTTTAAGGGTTGAAATTGAATATACTTATAAATTTGAAGAAGTTCAAAGTATGATAATGAAAAAGCAAACAATCAAAACGTTTGGAGGCTTGTGTTGTACCGATTCCCCAGCTATAAAGGACTTGTTTACCTGGAGGTGGGGGAACCCAAGTAGTGAGGTAACCCGCCTAGCTGTGGCAGCTTTTATTTTCAATCTTACAACCCCGGGATCTCGAGTTGAGGTTTCTAGAGTTTCTTGACGCGTTTTAAAAATACAACACGAACGCAAGCCCGTTGTAAAAAAGGATTAATTTACGAAAAAGAGGCTAGAGTCCAAACTCTGGGGGAAATATTTATTAAACTTGTCAAATAAACCACAACATTTAGCTAAAATAAAAACTCCGACACTTCTCAAAATTCCAAACAAAGGAGTAACAAATTTGCGCGAATAAAAGCTAAAAGACAACTAACCTAACTCCGTTAAAACAAAACAAGAAAAGTACGCGAAAAATGTCCAGGTCAGTTTTCCAATGTCCAGGTTAGGGTTCCTTGACGTGATTGGCTAATTTGTGAAATCACGCGCGCCGTGCGTGAATACAAAAAAAATACAAAGGGGGGGAGGAAGGGACAATGATTGTAGTTTGAAATTTAAAAAAAGAAAGAGATTTTCTACAGCCGGCTAGGCGGTGAACCCCTCTTTAAAACGTTTACATAACAAACTACGACCCCTGTCAGACAGGGTTTCTATACCCGGTAGACCGGGCAACCTCCCTAGGCGGGTTACCCCACCTATCACGCAAACTTGATCAAGATAGAACAAAAGATTATAAGAAAAGGCGGATTACTCCAGCTCAGCAGGTTACTTCACCTACCTGGGGTCCTCCA